TGTTATTCCTTGGAAACTACAGCTCCCAGACTTCTCCTGGATTACCGTCACCTGTGTGCGCGCTGGCCGCGCCCAGGTGAGGGTCATTCCTCCCAGATAACCTTGCGCCCCCTGTTAAAAGCGAGGGTCCACGAGGTTTCGCCCTCTTGGCCTTTTTCTCCCCCTACCCTTGTGTGTCTCGCACGTCCCATCCCTTATTGTGTTCCCCTCTCCCCATTAAAGCGCACCCATGTGGGAGCCGCGTGTCTCGTCTTTTCCTTTTGCGTCTCGTCTATCCTGTGTTTGTCCACACACCCACGCCACCGCCATTTTTAAAGGAATAATAGACATGAACAAAAGAATTTTTACAATTTCGAGGTAAAACTCAGATATAAATTGCCATTCTTTACCATTTCCATTAACTGAGTTTTTTAGTTACACTAGTGTTTATATTAAAGTCATTGTTCTTCCCTGGTGCTCCCTGATGGTGCTTACTGAGCTCTGCCCTTCCCCTGATACTGCCAGTTTCACATAGCAGGGATGGTGTGGAACAGAAAAGTCACTTACACCCCATCCCTTAATAGTTAACTCAACTCACATCAATTGCTGGTCATGAGTGATGGGGGTTATCTAAAAGCTGACCCTCATTTTGCAGAGGGAATCTGTTTGCAGAGGGCCACTACAGCCTTGCAGATAAAGCTGTGGGTTGTAAAGCAAAGTAACCCACTGTTAATAGTTAATCCTTAAGCTGCTGAGAAAACTACTGAAAGCCTACTCTCATTCTCCTAGGCTTTACAACTTTATATTCCTTTATTTCTACATTCTTTTTTCTGGAATCTACATTTCTATATTCTTATTCTTTGACTCTTCAAACTGTCCCCAGGGATAGCTAGTAGGAAGGAAGCAGAACTCCTTAAGTACTCAACGGGACTTAGAACCCAGGACAGGCCACTGAAACTGTAACACAAGCTGAAGCCCTTTCCCTGTACAACTAGAATGAATCATAATTTAATTTTATTAGAAGTACTATTGTAAAATGAGAAAGCTAATTTATTAATTTTAAAATATTGAAGCATAAATAAAACATTTTTATCTGAGTCTTTTCAAACCCCATCAATCTTGAGTGTCTAAATAGATGTCAAAGAGGAGGAAATAGAAGAGCTAGAAAAAATGGGGGTTGGGCAGATTTCTCAATTCCTCTCTGATCCTTCTGCTCACATTTTCGGGACAGATTGAAAAGCCAACCTAATGGTCTGTGGAGCAATAGATACCATGCCCTCAGTGGACATGTG